TTATTTTTAGTTAGCACCTTAAAAGCTTAAAGCTGTAAGCTAATGATAGTTATATAAGAGCAGATGCTGCTGGTGCAATAAGCTGTAGTTTTACGTCCAGTGGATGATGATCTGACTACTCCACTAACCGCATAAATAATCGGTGACTAGTCGACTATCAAAATAATCGTTTGTGGCAGCCCTATTGGCCACAGATCACCTCATTGTCAGTTTTGTTTGAGCCAACTTTTTTTTTTTTAGTCCAAGATCTGACCAGCGTCGGGTAATTTCCTCCCCACCAATCCACACATTTGTGCAGAAATTGTGTACATATTGTCACTAGGTAGGATAAAGCAACTGTGTGAGTAGTATGGCCTTAAGTGTGCGTGTGCATGTATCACAAATATGGCCTCGTAGATGCTTGATGGAAGGAGGAAGTAGCAAAAATCTGTTAGCATGTGTTAGTTGTTGTCACAAATGAATGACAGGCATGCATCCATGTTTGTAAAGGTGTGGCCTGAGAACTCATTGAGTCGCCTTCATATTACTTACAAGTTTGTTTGTTTGGGGGGTTTTTTACAAATTAGAAGCAAAGATCAGTTAGTCTTAAGGAATTGTTACAAACATTTTGAAAATGCAACAGAAAGCAAAGACATGCTTCAAATGTTGCTGCTCTGGTTGACGTGTTTCCTGCAACATGAGATGCTGCCGTTGTTTGATATGTAATCATGATGAATCAGCTCTGCTTGCAGTTTGTTCAAGCACAGGGTTCACGTGTCCTGTACCAAGTCCCATCACATCAACATCAATTAAACACGTGTCCAGAGAGAGAGAGAGAGTGTGTGTGTGTGTGTGTCCATAGTTATTTCTGTTCTCTGAACACCGCAGCAGTGTGTTGCCATACTGTATGCACTGTTTATTCGTGTCGTAGCTGCTGCTCTCTAGTGAGACTAGTTAGTTCTGGAACCTGGTTTGCCTGCCAAACACCTGTGGGTGTGTGCGTGTGTGTGCGGGAGTGTCAGCTGTGTGTTGTGTGATGAGCTTTTATAGATCTGGAAGGCTGCCGCTATTGCTCTGGGGGGCAACAACAACACATGCATGCGCACATACACACTCCTCTCTTCAGGTTTATTTTTGTGTGTCTCCATCTCTCCCTTGACCATATGCATGTGGACTGTTTATTTTTGCTATAGGCCTGTAATGCACAGCTGAACTGAGTTTTTGCTTGTGTAGTTGGTGGAGAATAGCATCTTGTATCTTCCTTAGATAAAGTGACAGAATGAGTGGTCTTAATACTGACTAAATTTTAAGTGCAGTTGAAGCTTACCAACATGGGCTGTACTGTCTAAACTAGAGAGATTGACTCTTCCGTTTCAAAATGTCAGCCTCGAGGAATCACTTTCAGGTGTAGTGGAGTCTTTCCCATTTACCATACCATTTAAGCATCAACACTTGGGTAGTTTATAATTACTGTAAATCATTACTACTGACTCTAGATTTAATAGCAGCTAAGAATAGACGCAGTCACCGAAGGCTTTTCAGTTACTTACTGGTACCTTTACAGATGCCCTTTTACCTTCAGGACTGCCTTGATTTAGTTTTTTTTGTTTTTGTTTTGTTTTTTTGTGGCATGGTTTGAACAAGCTGTTGTTGGTGACGATTTGTCTGTTGCACATTTATAATGAGAACCTCCTGTTCCGCCACATCCCAAAGGTGCTCTATTGGATTGAGATCTGGTGACTGTGGATGCCATTAGAGTACAGTGAACTCATTGTTATGTTCAAGAAACCAATTTGAACTGTGTGACGTGGCATATTATCCTGCTGGAAGTAGCCATCAGAAGATGGTTATGTTGTTGACATAGTTTCCAACAATACCCAAGTAGACATTTACACATTTGCACATGCTCAGTTGGTACTAAAGGGCCCAAAGTGTGCTAAGAAAATAACCTCCTCAGCATTACACCACCACTGGACTGACCTGTTGATACAAAGCAGGATGGCACCACACTCTCATGTTGCTTGTGCAGCTGTTGCAGCAAAAATTAAGATTTCAGGAGACAAAGCAATGTTTTTGGTGAGTTCATACAAATTGTAGCCCATCTGATTCAACATTTTCACAAGTGATTATTTAAGTTACTGTTGTCTTCCTATCAGCATGAAACCGTCTGGAAGTTTTTCTCTGTTGGTATTAACAAAGCATTTTTTGGGTACTTTGTCCTTCTCAGACCATTCTCTGTAGAACTTAGAGATGGCTGTGTTGGGGGAAATCCCAGTAGACCAGCTGTGGGACACTGCTACGTTCAGTGTCACTAAACTCTGCTTTCTTCCCCTTTCTGGTGCTCAGTTTAAACTTGACTGTGTGTACGTGTCCAAATGCATTGAGTTGCTGCCGTGTGATCTGTTCTTGACTTTAAGGAAACAGCAGAAGCACATGGGTGTGATGACAGTTAAAACAAGAACCACTGTTTCCTCTTCCTACATCAGAATAATACACTGGTTGTAATCTCCAGCAGCATTGTCTTATTTTATGACTGCAGTTTCTCAACAAGGGACATTATGTATCTATTTTTATTTGTTGTTTTAATAAGTATGAATCATTTTTTTAATTCATTATTTTAATAACGATTTTAAAAGTATTTTATTAGCCTTTCTGTTTGTTTGAAAAATGGTTGGTTTTTGGTTTGTCAGATAAAATCAACCACTTCAAGAATGTTTAGAACAAGGAAACCCACAATCACCGTCTTAGTCCCTGCTACAGGACTGTTCTGTAAATGTTTGAGGCCATCTACCCCAAGGCTCTTTTTGGTGTTGCATAACTGAACTTCTTCCTCCTGAATGAGCAATGGGAAATGGCAAAGTGTAATTTCCTGCAAGCCAAGGAGGGCAGAAAGCCTGGGCTCTGTAAAAATGAACTTGACATATGCGTTTGTGTGTCTACACACAAGCAGACACTTTCACAGACATGTACACACAGTGCGATGACTGATGGCCCCATTTATCACCCAGTAATGCGGTTACATTATCGTCCTGCGTCCAGTTGTTGCTTGGTAACAGTCATTTTCCCTGTGGTCGTCACAGCAGTGGTTGCTGTTTGCAGCAGTGTTTCTCAGCTGCTGTGTCCAGGCCTGATAGAGCATTGTTTTCATCCACCGGCTCAAGAAACTACTGCAAGATTACGAGTCCCAGTAAATTGCGCAAGTGGCAAAGTCCATTCTTTGAAAGAGATTTAGTTCTTTTGTTGCCGGAATGAATGCACTTCATATGGATGTAGTATTTGGTTTAAGTTCTTAGAATATCCTGCTGACAACATGGTAACTGGTTCGTTTTTGACAGTCATATGCCAGGCAGCATGGTGGTATTCATAATGTTCCTTATGTATAATACAGAAAGATTCATTGTTGAAACAAAGTTTTTAACCATGTCTTAGTTAAACATGCCAGGGAAAATCAGCTTCTGTCCTTGTATTCTATGGGTCAGTTCTGTCATCAACAATGTTGTTCAAGTTACTTGAAAAAAGTAATCAGTAACTAATTACTGATTACTTCCCCAAAAAAGTAATCCCGTTACTTTACTGATTACTTATTTTCAAAAGTAATTAATTACTTAGGTACTTAGTTACTTTTTAAAAACACGATTTACAACCTGAATAGGTAATAAAGCGATAGATCTTTCAGCCCAATTCTACTTTTTCTACATAATCCATCATACAAATGTAATCAAATGGAAAAGTCTCTTTTTAAAACTTGTTTTATTAGTTTTAATATTTTAACTTTATGCATCAAGCAAACATTTAATTATATGCAACACTCTCTGACTGGAAGAAATTTGTTTAATATTTAAACCTATTTTCTACACATTCCAGCACATAAAATAAAATATTTTTTGTGTTTACACTCAGTCTTTCAAATAGATGCAAGTAAAACACAGCAGAAAATAAATAAAGTCAAAGACTAGCGGTCCTTTTGCTCTATTTTCACCTGTAAAGCAGGAGTGGGGTAGGCGGAGGTTTATCCTGGTGCAGGTGTGCCGCAGCGGTCAGTGGAAGAATCCGTGAGTTTCTCTGTGAGTTTCCCATTACGTCATAGCGCACTCGGTGCTTGCTTGGAAGTTTAGGGGGGTTTTTTTCGCTGTAAAAAGAAGTTTTCTTCCCACGCACAATGCTAATGGACGCTAATGTTTTTGTCACTTTTTATGGAATCAAACTCAAAGTAAGCTCAGTACTTCCACGCTTTAAACGCTGCACGCTCATACTCTCTCCCGCACTTGATTATGATCCATTGTTGATCTGCACACAGCTGTTGTCACAAACGTCGCACTTGCTAACGTCACTGTCATGAGACATTCTCGCAAAAAATCACGGTTTTAGTAACGCAGTAATGCAGCGTTCCTACGGGAAAGTAACGGTAATCTAATTACCGTTTTTGCAATAGTAATCCCTTACTTTACTCGTTACTTGAAAAAAGTAATCGGATTACAGTAACACGTAACGCGTTACTGCCCATCTCTGGTCATCAATGATGCTAAAAATGGGTACCAGCCATAAGATCTTTTTGCTGAAATACCAGAAAATTGTTCCAAACAAATAACAATTATGCGCCAAGTTCTTACAATAATCTGTTTTTCTTGAATGGTTTTCATGGTTCTGTCTTCCCACATTGCCACAATGGTCTTAGTTTCAGAAAAGTTCATTGTGTTCTAAATGTAACGGTTAATTATGCAACTAAACAGATAAGTCCAGAAGTGCAAGTTTCTCATCCACTAGTCCCTGGGCTGTCTTTAATGCCCTGGGTGTATTCTTGGTGTCTGCTGAGCTGTTTTACCTTTTTGTTCTCATAAACATTCCTGTTCAACCTCTTTTGAGCTCCATCCAACAAAAGCTGCAGCGGTCCCAGCCTTTTCACTCTTGTCAATCCATACTTATTTTGTTGTTCTCTGGGTTGTGTCAGTATGACCTGTTTGTGATTATACTTGGTGAACAACTCCCAGGCGTAACCTTTTCTTTCTCTTTTCTCTCCGCAGGGCTCCAGAGATTATTTTGGGCCTGCCATTTTGTGAGGCCATAGACATGTGGTCGCTGGGATGTGTGATAGCTGAGCTCTTCTTGGGTTGGCCTCTCTACCCTGGAGCACTGGAGTACGACCAGGTGACTTTGCCCTCCCGCACACACGCACACAAACGCGCGCACACACATGCACACTCTCAAGGACAGAAAGCCTGAAGAGGGAGACCTTTCATAAATGAAGGCGGAATAAGGTGGAGAAAATAAAATTTAACCTCATTTTTGCAGAAAATAAATTTAGTGTGTATAATTCATTCTTGGCTGTGTTTTCCCAGGAGCCTAACGATAGTATTTTTATTACACAGTTAAACCTTCATTTGTTGTTGCTTCCCAATCTCTCTCCTGCTTTATGACTGTGGTCCAACAAATCCTTGATGAAATCCACCTAATACTAATCTGGACTAAGTGAATCAGGAAATTGTTCCTGGCAGTGTGTGATTATCTTCCCACAGGATTGGGCAATCTAAACTATACAACAGGGACCCTAAATGGAGTCCCCCGGCAAGGGAGAGGGAGCATGGGAACAGGCCCATAACACATTCACAGACTAGTGCAGGATTATCCAGCATTTGACCATAGTCAATTCATGGAGGTCCAGATTGAAGGCCATCATGAGTTTAGAAATTTGAAGGGAAAAAAGTTGGACACCGTTGTGTGTTTTGACATGAATTTCAAACATCAAATAATCAAACGTAGTTGCTTTTTTGTTTTGTTTTTTTAAAGAATCGTCCCTGCTTTATTGTGTGTTCCTCAGTGTTTTTGGAGGTCCTTGTTCATCTAGAAGCAGCTAATGCTTTGAACTGTCATCAGTCATCCGCTGAGCTTTGACAGCTGTGTATCACAGGGCCATGCCAGGACACACACTCACGCGTGCACATCGAGTCCCCAAAAGCATGCTGTCCTATGCCAAGGCTCACTGCAGTTCCACTCTACACAGCAAAATGTATTTATAAACATAAGCCTGATGGTAGACAAGTGCGCACACTCACACGTGCACACGTAACACACACTTGTGCACACATAGACAGTGTGGTTGGCGTTCAGTGCACCATCAGCAGGTTCTCAGTCCAGTGCTCTCTGGCAAGTCAGTGTATTTGTTCTAGGCCGTAGACATGACATGTACACACATACACACTGTAAAATTGTTACTGTAGGATTTGTGTTTTTCATGGAATTTCTGGAGTATCGTAGTATTTAAGATGTTTAATCAAGCCTGGGGGGTCAGCTCAACCAATCTTGGTAAAAGACAGCCTACATCTGGGCAAGATGGTTTACTTCTGTGTTATCACACTGTGAAGGTAATCCCACCTTCAGTGGCATTTTAAAATGTCTCACAAATTAGTAAAATTAAGCACGGGCTGATAAATAGAAATGGATTTTCATGCTCATTAAATAAACATCAGATAGAGGCCTACACATCCCAATAAAAACATTGTGAAATTACATGATTCAGCTGTGTTACACTTTGTTATTTCTTGCAGTCAACTACAAAAAGTTTGGACTTGTTAGTGAGAGGGGGAAAGGGTAAAAGGTGGGCATCCTTGCTTACACATGGACTGAGAACATATCAATCTGTCACTTAACATTTGAGCCTTTGATTACATTTTGTGGGTGAAGATTGTTATTAATAAAATGGTTTCTCCAACATGCACTATGGGGTACATGTTGGAGAAAGTGTTTCAGTCTACCTTATGTTCTTTTTAAAGAATAGTCATATACATATTTACACAAGCAGAGTGCATCAGCTGATTTAAACTAATATAGAAACTGGGTAAAATTCATTACATTCATGATGCTCATGTTGGTGTGGTTTTATGCAGTGATTATGTAAGTTGTTGTGACTGATTGTGACTTTCCTGTTATTTTCTTCCTCTCCCTTCCTCTGCCTCTTCCTCACTGCGTCCTGTCTGCTTTCTTGCACCGCTCAGATCCGGTACATCTCTCAGACTCAAGGCCTGCCTCCCGAGCAGCTGCTCAACAAGGGGACCAAGACTTCTCGTTTCTTCTCCAAAGAATCAGATTCTCCCTATGCATCGTGGAGACTAAAAGTATGTGCAATCAGATCCTACAAAAATAGACACATATATGACACAAACACAATGTCTGCCTCTTCCTGCCAACTACACGTCATTAAAAGTCAGTAATTGTTCATTAAAATTTTAGAAAAAAGTCAAGTGAAAGATCCTTGCAGTCAGGGAAAAATAAGAAGTGGCAGTACATTCCCAATAGGAAACAGCTGCATGATCTTTTCCAAACAGAACAAAGCCGGCAAACCTGGAGGAAAGCCGAAGGAAATGTGAAACTGTGTTTAGACTACCTGCTGAGCTGACTTTAAATACAGTTTAAATGAATGTAAGCCGAGTGTTTATCTGTACGTGTACTTTCCAGCAAAACTCAGTTGGAACAAGTTGTGCGTCCAGATTTGCATGCTGACGTGTATAGTTTGCTCTCCCTGCTAACCTTTCATCCCTCATCTCTGAAACAAATCCAGTAATAATTTCCAAAACACAGAGATGCAAACCCCTGCTTATACAAAAGTCTTAACATATTACATTTATGTGTCTGAAATATTTATCTTCATGTTCCTGTTCATCCTCCAGACAACAGAGGAGCATGAGAAAGAGACAGGACTTAAATCCAAAGAGGCCAGAAAGTACATCTTCAGCTGTCTGGATGACATAGCCCACGTGAGTCTTTATAAGCCAAATCACTTGGATCGGTTTCAAACCACACCAGACACAAATAAAACACCTTACCATACAATACAAGTCTTACCTTCACAAAATATATATTTAAACCTAAGTTTGTGGCTGTGACTTGCTCTGTCAATTAGGTGAACTTGGTGCTGAGTCCTGATAACGCTGACATGCAAGCAGAGAAGGCAGACAGGCGGGAGTTTGTGTCTCTGCTTAAGAGCATGCTGTTGATCGATGCCGAGGACAGGACTGTTCCCACCAGTGTCCTCAGTCACCCCTTCCTCACTATGACTCATCTTCTGGACTACCCTCACAGCAACCAGTAAGGCTACGACAGCTCACAAGATGTTTTGATTTTCACATTCCTGTGTGCTTCCTTTCTCCTGTCTAACTTAGAGCACACTGGCATGGTAAAAATACAGTATGTACTCGTGAACCACATACAGCTTCCCTTGTCACCCTTACCAGTGTGCAGTCATCTTTCCGCATCATGGACATGTGCCACACTCGGTCCAGCAATGCAGTTTTTGACGCTCTCAACCAGAACACCATTCATTTCTCAAGGCCACCTCTAGCTCCCACTGCCTCCTCTGGCCTCCTGGGCTACAGCAACATACCAATCCACACTCAGGTGAGAATGTGCTAGGAATAGGTTTAGTCTGTCATTCAGCACAGCAAGTGCATAAATGCCTCTAAACATGTACAATTAATTAACATATTGTTTCTGTCGGCATATTCTTTAATGTTGACCTGAAGTTGCTGTAATGCATCACTGTAGTAAACTGGATTAAATATTTCTGTCACATTGACTTCACTGGCACCGCTGTCGTTATCTTCTTTTCGTGGCTAACATTTGTTGTGTCTCTTTGTCACCGCTCCTTTTCATTTCCTCTCTTCTCCTCTACCGTCTCACCTGATTTCTGTCTATCACTCACTGCTCTCTGCTCTGCCGTTGCCTCTGTGTACACGTACCTGAAGCAGGCTATCACCCAGTCGGCTCCATCAGTGTTGCATCCGGGGATAGCTCTGACAACCGGAAATGGTCAGTTTGGGTGCAGTGACTCATTCCCACCTGCCCTCCTTCTTTGTCCTCCAACCATGCAAGGTATATCGACTGTTCATAGCTTCTTTTGGCAGTTACACAACATTCATTTTATACTTTCTGAGAAGTAACTTTACCAAAATGGCATAAAATTTAGTTATTGTGTAACAGTTTAATTTAATTTAATTTTTCTGTTTTTTAAGGCAACCTTAATCAGCCAGCAGGTTATTCTGTCCCCATGGCAACTCAGGCACCTCCTATACAACCCTTACCTGTGAGGCCTGGTGTAATAGCTCAGGTAAGCTCTGTACATGCAAACAATAAGTTGAACTGTTAAAGAAGCAGTGGCAGACACACCCTGAGTAACTCTCAGCTCCCGTCGCCCTACTGCTGATGCGTCACTGAGTAAAAGTTCCTCAAAAACCACTTCTGACGCCAATGGAGATCAAAAGAAGATTACATAACATCTATGATTTGACTCCTTTGTCCCTGTAGCAGGCCTGGTCTAACCGGGGGCAGCAGCTCCTTGTCCCAGCAGCCTGGCAGCAGATGACTCCAGTAGGGCCTCCTCCCTCTCACCCACCACCACCACCACCATCCTCCCTAACCAAGGACACCACAGCTGGACCTCAGCGAATCAGCGACTGGGGGTGAGTCACAAAGACTTAAAGTCTGGGGAAAGTCCCTGCTTGCAAGACTTGCACTGGTCAACATTTTTCTGTCAAATTCTTTATTGGCATGTGTGCATCTGTTTTTCTTATTATGTCACAGCATGTTTTCTATTCTCTTTATGCTTTTACCCAAAATATGGAGCTTCATGTTTCTCTTTCACCCTTTACTCTTAAAATCTGTAACAGGAAAGTGCGTCCACACAACAGCCACTATAACGCAGTGATCAAACAACCTCTTCTGACTAATCAGATGCCAGCCCTCTCGGCCCATCAGCCGATCAACATCGGCATAGCTCACGTTGTGTGGCCACAGCCAACCAATAAAAGGAACAGGCACAGTCACAACAGGTTGGCTTCTGCTCCTTGTGCACGTCTTTGGATTTTAAATTCTCTGTCACTGATATATTAAACATTTATGAAATAATTCTGTTTAAAGGAACCTGTCTCACTCCAGCAACGTCCACATCACTGGATGTCGGACCCCCAAAATGGCTGATGCTGTTGAGCAGGCAGTGGCAGGAAGGGAGCAGCCTCAAAGGGAGGTGCCTTTAGTGGAAACCAGGCAACCAGAAGTTCAAAACACAGATGAGGATGATGATGATGCAGAGGAGGAAGTGAGCTGCTTCAAAGAGGTGGCGACGAACGCTAATAGAGAGTCGGACTTGCTCAGGCAGCGAGATGTGGCGGTTCTGATGGCCGACACTGACGGGAGCCCCACGCCCAGCGTTATCAGCATCCGCAGTGATCTGACAGATGCAGAGGATGAGGGTGGGGAGGAGCAACCACTGAGGTGCCGTCTGAATGAGTGAGTATAATCAGGAAAATGAACTCGTTCAAGCTCACCCTGCTTATGAGGGAAAACATGTCAGCTTCACGTACAACATTCTGTGAAAGTCCCTGCATTATACACGAGACTACCTCTAAATTCAGCTGTTTCAGACTAAAAAAAAAATCTAAAAACGTCTCCTCAGGTGCAAAGAGAAGTGTGTGTGTGAGGCTTGCGGAAACACCAGTTTGTCTATGGAGAGAGTGTGCTCACTGAGCAGCCCCGACAGCAGCCTCAGCACCAGTTCGTTTGCCTCCAACTCTCTTCAGTCCAGCCCTTCAGTCTCACCATGCAAGAGAGCCAACAGGTAGCAGTTTACATCCTTCAGTAACTTAAAAAAAAAAAGTTGCTCAACAGAAAAACACTGAAAACACTTTTAAGTAGCGGTTGCTTGAATCTTCTTTATGTTTGTTTGTCCCTCCCCTCCTGTTCAGCATGTCTGAGGATGATGGTCACGAGAGCGGCTGTGACACAGTGGAAGGCTCCCCCTCATCCGACACGTCGACTTCCCCTCGCGGCAACAATTCCTATCGTTACCTTGACAACAGTAACCACAACAACCACCCGTCTTTGGCTGCCGTAGTAGCGCCACTACCTTCGCCTACTGTGCAGGGCAGGAGCCCACGTGGCATCAGGACAATGGTAGTTCCACCAATGAGAGTGCAGAATAACAACACTCAGGGGATAGAGGAGCGTGTCCAGAGAAACGGTCAGTGAAAACTGATTCTTCAATGCAAAGTTTGTCTATGAGTAGAATTATAATCTGAGGTTGTTTTTGTTTTATTGTATCTTTTTGTTTGTTTTTGTTACACGTACAGTGAGCTTTGCGCTGTTTTTGTTTTTCTTTAAAAAGTGTATAAAAGTGGAGTTTTTAAACAGCCCACCTGAAATAGTGGTGGTGGTGGTGGGGTGGGGGTGGTCAAGTTTTTGGCCCAGTTGTGTGGTCTGTCACCTGTGCTTTGGTGGTGTTTGCTTTACAGGTCATTTGGAAGCAGTAGGGGCTTACCGCCCCCTAGTGGGTCATAGAGGCTTTAACAGGTGATCAAGAGACAACAGCAGAAGACTTTCTTCTAGTCTAAGACCTCAAAAGATGCATCCATTGTAGGCAATGCTAACATTGCCTCTGTTATGGCTTTCCCTCCATTTGAGTTGAAATGTTCCTCAAAAGTTTTTCTTCTTTAAATCTGCATAGTCTTCCATCAGTGATCCACATTATATTACAGTAGTTTCTAAAGGTTTACATAAAGACAGGACAGGATACTCTGTTGGATCCTACGTACGGAGGGGGAAAGGAGGATGCATTTGGTTTGGTACTGGACCAGAGCTTGAGTTTTTGCCGTTGGTTCTTGCTGTGCAGCAAAAGTTATCCTAAGACACTGACGTGAGATCAGTTTCTATACCCAGAATATAATTCTGTATTATAAATGTGTTAATTGTGCAGTGAGTTTAAAACTGATACAGATCAGAGTCTGAGGATCAACTTTGCTCAGATGCCATTTTCTGAGTGTCCATTGTATTTTTCCCCCCTTTGCCTGATTTTATGGATTTTCTTATCTGTTTAATGGTTCTGTGTTGTATGTGAAGATTCCCAGCTGTTTACATATATTCAGGAGTAAGGCTTTTTTTTTGTTTGTTTGTTTGGGTGGTTTTTGGTTTTTTTGGGTTGTTTTTTTTTAACATTTTGAGTCATGACAGGTTAAAATATGTCATGTTAACTTAAATTAGTAATAGTCACATTTTGAGATGCCAAAAGTTTCATGTTCTTTAAACAGAGTAAACCTACTGTCACTCTGGTGTGCATTCTTGTTTGAAGTCATTGTGGTTGTTGCTGTTACTTTTTAGTCACACAGACTAAACCCGGAGTCTATTTTTGGTTTTGTATATGCTTTTGTTTGAATAATGTGTCTTCTGTCTCTTCCAGTCTTAGAGTCCTGGTCCCGGTCCAAAGGGCGATGCAGCTTCGTAGGACAACAGAGCACTCCCTCCTCCATCCCCCTCCTCCCATCTGCCCCCCTGCTGTCCCGACAGCAAAAGGTGACTGGGCAGCAGCACCCTCTGGGCTTTGGACAGGTCAGTTTGTGTCCTTTCTCTTGTTAATATATAGGCCGTTAACAGGTTTGAACTAAGGTTTGCTTCTACTTAGAGGAGATCATTCCAGGAGGACTGTGTTTCCCACACTCTGTATGTGGTACTGTGTGTTTGTCTATGAGGCTGACTGTAACAACAGTGAACAGCTGGAAGGGAAAACCAGGGATCAGGACTAACTTGTAAGAAGCCAGTGAACTTTCAAAGTAATAGTGAGGCAGATTTTAATCGACTACTAAGTCAATTGTAAATTTCATTTTTCTTCCCGATTTGAATCGAGTGCATGTTACAAAGTTAAACAACCCACCCCAAGGATTAATGGCATATACTGATTCAGATATTGTCAGCTTGTGCAGTCAGCTGTATGTTTATACTCAAGAATCTGTCTTTTATGCTGCCACTGTTTACCAGGAAACTGCTGTTTCTGAGTGGCGGTAACATAATCTGCATCTCTGAAGCTTGCGTGTGTGTGTGTGTGTGTGTGGTCGCGTACTGGCAAAAACTTGAAAGTTTCTGCTTTCAGCCAAGAAATGGTTCACAGCATAGATTACATGGAAAGACAATGTGCTGTTTATACACTTTGTCTGCGATGGATTACTTACAGAGGTGCTGAAAGTTTTTGTTTCCCTTTTCTGAGCTCTTCCAATCTCTGTTCATGAAATGACTTAACCAGTGGCTTAGGACCAGCAAAAAAAAACTTGTTGAGCCAGTTGACTGCCTGCTAGTGCGTTCAGGCCAGTAATGGTTTCCAACATGTCCAGATATCACCCAGAGTTCACCTGTGAATCAAAAAGCTAAATCAGTAATCTCTAATATTGTTTTTTGTTGCTGCCAGTTGAAAGTAAAACAAGAGTTTTTTGGTTTTTTTTGTTTTTTTTTTAGTGGAGTGGAAAACGCAACAGCGTTAGGCTGTGTATCTATGAGCTCATGTTCACAGCAACAGACACGAGTAATGTCAGTGTTCTGGTCTTACTCTGAGAGAGAAGAGCATGCGCATATATCAGAGGTCTCAGACTGCTCCTGTGTGAGTTGCGCCTGGTGTTAAATGAGTCTTCTTTGTCTGTCCTCTCCCTCAGGTGCAGCCGTACGCTTCAAACCAGAGCAGCAAAGAATGGAACGGCAACTATGGGCCTCTGCGGCCGCACGCCTACATTCCCCCTACTGTCCACACACACACCTTCAGCCCCACACACACCTCAGCCGCCCCCCACACTCTGCTGTCCTACCCTCCCAGCGGCCCACTCACCACCGCCCACCATCCCCACCCCATCCTGCCTTCTCGCCCACCTCCTCCCCCTCTCCTCCAGCATGGCTACGGTCTTTCCCACCCCCAAGGAGGCGCTATAGTTCACCAGGTGACCCTGAGCATCAGCGCCCACCCTCACCACCCTGGACACCCCGCTCCCCACCCTCACAGGCTCCTCCCTTCCCCAACCATCCACCCGCACCACCAGCCTGGATACGCCGCCCACCCCCACCAGTTCAAGCCTCCCTTCCCTCCTCCACCGCCCCCTCCTCACCCTTACATGGCCTCCCCAGCCGCCTACACAGGCTTCCCTCTGAGCCCCACCAAGCTCAGCCACCACCCCCAGTTCTCTTATATCTGAGGAGCAGGGCGGGGCCACAGCAGTACCTTCTGGTCAGGAAGGGCCACGGGAAGTGGACAGGGGCATCAACCTGGGCCGGAAGAGCTAGCAGCAGAGCACAAAATGGACGCATGTAATGATGAAGATGAGCAAGAAGAAGATGGGACGATGGAAAACAACGTATCATAGCGGACAGAGTAAGAAAAAAAGTAACAATGCCGAAGATGACGTTAAAGTTCGGAGGACAAAGAAATTCCCAGCCTGTAATCCCAATTCCTTGATTATGTTTTGATTGTCGGAGCATCTTGAGCTCTGAAAGACTCTCCGTGAAATCGACTAACAGAAGTAATAATAGATTAGAACCGCAAAGCTTTAAAGAGAGCACAACGGGAGTGAATGAATTCATATGACAATAAGGAAATTTTAATTAAGAATGTGTCCTTTGCATGTTACCTCCCATCAGTGGTTGTTTTTCAGAGAGTATGATCTAATTCACGGCTGGAAATCAGTAGTTGTTGCTGTCAGGCGGCCCAGCCTCTCTCCCCCTTTATCCTTATTGCCTTGTAGCATGTACAAGCCGGTCAGATTGTGTTTGTTAAGCCATCCCAGTGTGTATCGACGACCGCTGATAGCCCCCCACCCCCTCTTTGTTTCGGGCAGACTGTACTGCTGCCCTCTCTTAGTGCCTTAAAACGAGTGTCTCTGACGTTACTTCAGGAGCTTATACAGTAGATTGTACATTTAAATAGTCTTGCAGCACTTAACCTACAGAGTTTAAATAAGATGGGCTTATTGGATACATATGAGGTTAATCCTTGTTTTTATGTTATAATATTGGCAAACGTTGGACTTGGGTGTGCTTTCTAAGTCAGAGTATGGATTTCTTTTAGCTAGAGGCTGCACACATAGGGCTTTGACTGAATGAGCTTTTTATGTACATAAAGAGTGATTTGATATTTTGATAATCGTTTTCTATTCACTATAATACTTAATTCACAACAGTATTGTCACTGTTTACTGTAACTGCAATACAATCTAGATAGACTCTGGGTTGCTGTGTTTTTATTATTTGGCATTTAGGCTAGACTTGCATTAATGCATTTTACGTTCTAGATTTTGGGAGTGGCATAGACTTTAAAAAAAACATGAATTTTTATGTTTTTACTTTAAACTGCTTTTCAGTGTTTGAAATAACCTATCAACTTACAGTATCAGTGCTGGGCTATCGAGTATTAGAGTTATAATCGTTTGAAATTATTCATGTGAGGCAAACCTTTTTTTTTTTTTTTTGGTCCATGTATTGAAGCCTGTTGTCAGTTTTGATACATTCCTTCAGGGTGGATGCATAGCCTTGATTTGTGTGTTTCTAGTGTTTTTCGACTTTCTTTTCCCCCCACCGTGTAGTAGAGCTGTGTCTTTACCCGTCATATCAGCTGGTATCTTACTCCAATCAGCACCAAAGACTGTTTGTTTTTAATAATTACTGAAGCATGGTCGACGATATTTCTCTCTTTTTCACCTCCAGCATACTTGTTGCGGTTGTCAACATTGGAATATATTGTGAGATCTCTATTTTGAGTGTTTCGGTTGAGGTTTTATTATTATTATTATTATT